GATATTGGTTGACAGACAGTTGTTTTGAGTTGCTTGTGTTCTTCAATTGCAGCAATGCGTCCTTTGCTTTGCCAATCCTCGCCTTTATGTCTGCATCTGAACCTCCTTATTCATCGATGATGCTTCCTAGATATGTGAAGGATTCTACATCTTCAAGAGTTTCGCCATCAAGAGTGATTGGATTGCTGTTCTCCGCTTTGAATTTGAGGACTTCGGTTTTCTCCTTGTGTATGTTGAAACCTACTGATGCAGAAACTGCTGCTACACTGGTTGTCTTTATCTGCATTTGTTCATGTTTATGTGATAGAAGGGCTAGGTCATCTGCGAAGTTCAAATCGTATAACTGATTTTGAGCTGTCCATTGTATTCCGTGTTTTTCCTCAGATGTCGAGGTCTTCACAATCCAGTCGATCACCAGAATAAATAGGAAGGGAGAGAGTAAACAGCCTTGTCTGTTTCCGGTCGTTACTTGGAATGCATCTGTCAGCTGTCCTCTATGCATTACTTTGCACTGTAGTCCGTCATATGAGTTTCGGATAATATTGACGATCTTCTAAGAAACTCCTTATTGTCAAAGAAGTTTCCATAACGTCCTCCTGTCCACACTGTCAAATGCCTTTTCATAATCAATGAAGTTGATGTATAGTGACGAGTTCCACTCAACTGATTGTTCGACGATGATCCGTAGTGTTGCAATTTGGTCTGTACTCGATCGATCCTTACGGAATCCAGCTTGTTGATCTCGAAGTTGGGCGTCTACTGCATCTTTCATCCGGTTCAGCAACACCCTGTTGAAGACCTTCCCTAGTATTGACAGCAGTGTAATGCCTCTGTAGTTTCCACATTTGCTCAGATCTCGTTTCTTTGGAATCTTGACGAGGTGCCCTTCTTTCCAGTCCATCGGCACCTGTTCCTCTTCCCAGATCTTTTTGAATAGAAGATAAAGCATGTTTGTAGTTAATTCGATGTCTGACTTCCGTGCTTCAGCTGGTATGTTGTCAGGTTCTGCTGCTTTCCCGTTCTTGATTTGTCTGACGGTCATTCTTATTTCTTCCGTCGTTGGTGGGTTGACGTCTATGGGAAGATCTGTGTGTGCTGCTTCGATGTCCGGTGGATTTGTTGGAGCCGATCTATTCAGGAGTTCCTAGAAGTATTCTACCCATCTGTTCCGCTGTTGTTGAATTCCAGTGATTGTCTTGCCTTCTTTGTCTTTGACCGGTCTCTCTGGTTTACTGTATTTCCCTGATAGTTTATTCGTTGTATTGTAAAGCTGTTTCATATTTCCTTCTCTAGCAGCTTTTTCCGCCGTCTTTGCTAGTTCTTCCACGTACTTCTTGTCGGCTCTAATGCTCCTCTTCACTTGTTTGTTTGCTTCTGTGTATTCAGCTTGTGCTTGGACTTTCTCTGTTCATGTTCGGCTGTTGTTAATTGCTGCCTTCTTGTCCTTCCTTTTTTTGATCTTGTCCAGAGTTTCTATAGAGATCCACTCGTTATGATGGTGTTTCTTCAGGCCCAGAACCTCTTGACACGTTGACGTTAATGCTTCTTTGATGTTTTTCCAGTTGTCTTCCATAGTGGTTTCTTCTTCTTTCAGTAGATCTTGTAAGGCTTGGAACCTGTTGTTGAGAGCTATCTTGAATTCATTGAGTTTGTCAGTATCTCGAAGGAAGGCTGTATTGAACCATTTTAGTGCTGTTTGTCCAGTTCTTTATTAGCTTGAATCTTAAATTGGCTACAACTAGGTGGTGATCTGTAGGTACAGGCGGATTTATCATGCATTACTAAGTGAAAGGATTTTGTATGCATGCTTTCCGAAAAGAAATATTCTAGTTTGAGATCTTTAATCCTAGTTGACAGGATATCTTATTTTACTATCGTTTTTAAATTTCATTTTCCTTGTTCTAACCTATTTACTGTTGAGAAAATCATTATAATTTGTAATCTTTTAGATTGATTACCGAATTTGTATATTCCGGTACTATATAACTGACATATATTTACTTCAAAACATTACATCATAGTTTAAACTTATTGATTCAGATGTATTTTACTGTCCAGTTTAAACTTCAATAGTATGCGAGAGGAATTAATGGTAATTTCTCAGAATCACTTACTGTAATTAATAAACAGGTGAGTTTAAATTTACTGAAATGCCTGAAGTGTATTTTATCTGTGAGCATGATACTAATGTTAATCTTGAATGACTTAATATCGCTATATCTGATTGCGTAATCCACTTCAGAAACACTCTTCTTAGGTGAACTCTCTTGTCGATATGAATGTTTTTCGCTGTCAAAATTCCGTCATCTTGAAAGTCATTTTTTACTTTTAAAAACACTTTTCAATACAAAATTTAAGTCATCCTTTACTTAACATGGGAACTTTAACTCATTGCATTCTAGGCAATAAACCTTTCTATCGTTTATTACAAATAATGTTCGAATAAAGGTCGCGAGTATAATTTACTTATCGTATAACTTACTGTACCCAAAATAACCATGTAAATCAGGTAAAACTAAATACATTTTTATAGTTTATATCTGATCGGTATGGATAGCAAGTAATTGGAAAGGATCCATGTTAACATAAAACCCAGTAATATTATTGTTTTACTTAGGTATGTAATGAGATCAATTTGTATATAATGTATCACATATGTTATGACATTTTTCATTTTAGTTTAGTCCCTTAACGCTGATAGCATCAGATTATATATTAGAGGTCTTAATTAGTTATACAAGTCATTAGCTCTCCAATTAAGTTTTTTGAGATTCAGAACCGTTTAGTTCGGCGTTAACTGCAGATGTTTTTTTTACTTTGAGATGAATTTGGGGAAATCTACCGATTGCGTTTGAAAACAGTTTCATTCACTATTTAACAGTCAACTACTTCTCCAGTTAACTTGTTTATTCAGTTTCCAAAGCTACTTTTTAAAAAAAAGAACATACAGATCAAGGTGAGAATTTATTTTCCGGGGATATGAATATTGTTACTTATTCATCTGCGTTGTAACAAAGATATTACTAAAACCCACTGAAAAGATGCATAGAAATGATAGGTTTCTATGACATAATCAACATGAATTCTACCAGAAATTCAAACTTCCGGGAATTCGGATGTCTATGTTTCTCACTCTAACTTTAAATAACATTGACGTCAATAAATAATCATGGAACTACTCATCTTGACAGGTTTTGTAATCTTTTAGATTAAGTTTTTTTACTTTTCCCTCAACCCATAACTTTTTGTTCCTTGAAACAATATTTAAACCAATGGACGTATCTATTAATCTTACTATACTTCATAAGGACTTTGATCAATAATCTACTTTAAAGCGGTTTATCAATTCTCTGACCTGAAATTAATTGTTTTAGATACAATAGATATTGTAAAAGGTTTTAATCGCTGAGAAAAATTATGGGAATTTTTCAGCGATCTAAATCTTGTGATCAACACATTGTATTGAAGGTACTGAATGAGTCCCTGAAGTATAACGCGAAGTCCACAGAAACGAAAACATCATTGGTATTTTAAAAGTTTCGATTTTGATATCTATCTCTTCGCAAACAAATAAACTAAAAAAAATAATGAAAATAGCATAACAGAAAGAATTCTAAATTCACTTGGTATTGTTTGTTTGAATCTTCCCATTGATGTTCAGGACTGTAATTGATCGATCTCTTATTGGCATATGTACATACTGTGTGTACTGCCTCGATATAGCCTTAATTCACAAGCATTATATGCAAAGATGACGAGTCCCAAATAGGATGAAACGAGCGTCCTGCATTCTACTGCTAAACACTATCCATTTTTGCATATAAAGGAGAATTCTAGTTTATATCTTATCATCGAATCTTATCTATACATAAATGTTATAGTGATAGATACTGTTAAACATCACTATAAATATTATTCAAATACTTAGAGATAAGATTAGAACAAGACTAATCAAAATTAGTAACTTGGTGATTTCATCAAATGTATGAATAAACTTACTTAGTTTGAATGAATATAATGATATGAAAGGTATTAAAGATATTCCACTGAAAGATTCACTAATATAGACAATTATCATTTCACATCAACAATGTTTCCATGATAAATAAGGAATATACCTTGGTAGTCAATAGTAGATTAAGATTAAAAGTTAATTTCGCACAAACACGTTTAAAGCATTTTAAACCCAGAAAGAAAAAGTGAAAACTTGACATTCATTTAAATTCACATAACCCATGTAAGAAATTTTATAGAATAATGATAATATTAATATATACTGATTTCATACATTCTGTTGAAAGAAATAAAGAAAATGGAACAACTAAATCATGACAAGATTATTTTATCCATACTTCAAAGTGAAAGAACACTTCACTTTCGTAGATAGAAAAAATAAAAGAAGTGAATAGATACATAAAGTTTATTCAGGATTTTACTCAACGAACCCCCAGTTCTTATAAAGTAAAAACAAATATAACATGGAAACATATATTTACGTATTACTGTGAGTATAATAAACAATAATATCCATACATCCTTTGGTAATAATAAAACGGAATTAATAATAAATGGCTAATCTTTATGAAATGTGTATCCATATATAAAAAGCAATATATATATATATATATATATATATATATATATATATATATATATATATATATATATATCAGTAATTGTTTAGGCATAAACTTATGAATGTAAGGATGACTAAATTATTTACTAATCACTGTAGCAACTAAATCACACATACACACATATTTGACATAATTTTTTTTCGTAGAAATAAACAAAAACATAATGAAATATGTTGATCAACTTCCATAGTGAAACAATATTTCATAATGATATATTCATAACGAAAAAATTTTGAAAAGAAAGAAAAATGAGAAAATAAACACAGAATTTGAGCAGCAACAATTTTACTAACCTGAGTATGACTAATAAATTGTACTAAATAATCGAAACGAAAATATTATGTCTTTTATATATTTTTTTTTGTTTTTAAAATAAAGGAAGCATAAAGCTACAACAGTATGAAACAAGTAGGTAAAGCTGAAAATTAATTGTATACTGTAATCAAAGAAGTGAACTTCTTCCGTTAATTTCATCATTTTATGTTATTCTCTTAGTTGTGCATGTATAGAAGCTAGTGAATCTTTATGATGGAAATTAAAATCTAGGATACTATTCATTAGAATATGACTTTGTTTTATCATGGTGAGTACATTACATTAGAGTTTTTAGTTCTTCTGTTCCAAGTTGGTGAATCATGATTAACATAATTATTGTAAAGATTTGGTTCACTTTGATTGTTTTTCTGCCTTGAAAAAAACATATAAATTGGTCCTTCTTTATCAATCATTGGACCTCTGTTAGGATCCAGTTTGATATACGTGACATTTTCCAGATCATCAACATTATAACGTTCAAAATTAATTACTGGGCTAGGTGATGCTGCATTGTACACAGGGACTTGTCTTACAGGGGCTACCATCACAGGAGAAGGTAACTGACGTACTGGTGGTGGTGATGGATACTGATATGGTGGTGAGGGAGATCTATCTTCAACCATAGTATCACGTATATTTTCTTCTTCAAAATTCGGCAGGGAACGTATTCGGTCACTATCTTTCACCGCTACTTGTCTTAATGCATTAACATCATGTAGTTTTTTGTCTGGATCATTCATTGCACGTCTCATTAATTCTTCAACTTTTCTAACATTTGCTGCACTCTTACATTTGTATATTTCATAATATTTTTGTAAACTTCGTTGTGAATCAATACATAATGCAAAGAATTCCGGTTTAGAATGACTTACATAAAAATGCATAATTTCTTTATATGATACCCATGGACGAAATGGTATTTTTCCAGTAGTTTTTGTACGTTCCAAACTAAATCGATCTTCCAATAAACCAGCATTACAATGTGCTTGTCTTTTACGATGATATTTCTCTATTAATGATAATGCTTTTGATTCACTAAATGTTTCTCCAGGTGCACATGTTACTCGATAAATTGTACAAATATGTGTTTCCAAAAATAAATATTGTTTAGTTCCTACATGACGTAGTATATCGTCTATCGGTTCAGAATTCCGTATTTTACTAGTGGAACGTTTTGTTTTCATTTCTAATTAAAAGTAGTCAAATAAAAGAAATTTTAAGAAAAAAAAATCCAAGTTAAATAAATGGCATACAAACTTACTTTATCTTGTTTCTTTGTAAAAAAACAATTGATGAGCACTTTTAATTTAAATATTTATTATATATGTATCACTATAGAACTGATTTAAAAAAAAGCCCCGTTAATTGAATGACAATTGAATAGTTAACTGGATAATCTATATGTTCCCTTATTGCATTTCAATTACTTTAGTATAAGATTTATTTAGTGCATTTATATCACTTGTTTCTTTTCCGTTTAGTAATTTATAATAATCAACCAATGAATTGGCTATGCACAATAAAATGATTACAAAAAATATTTTGATATACACGATTAGTGGGGGTGGTAAATGGTGTTGTTTAGTATAAGCTAATTAAATAGTGAATAGATCTTTGACAGATAAAGTTTATTGGCGGTGATAGTGTATAACTGAACACACACTGATAGATTGCTGAACTATTTATTAAAAAAATGTTCCACTATTCTTATATTTGATTCTAGTTTTTAATACTAGTTGTAATCAATAAATTAGTGAGGTAGTATGAAAAAAAATGAAGCAGATAGATAAAACCTGGTCATAACATTGATAAGTAGTAGTAGTAGTAGTAGTGTAGTGAACAGAACATGGGTGGGGAAAACCGAATGTATTAAGCAAAAAATTACAGAGTTACTTGATAAAATAGAAAAACCATATAGTAAATCGTTATTTTGGTGGAGTTTTGTTCTCTGAGCTGGATGGTTTGGTCGTGGAGCTTTCATCGTTCTTCTGAACGACATCATCAGCACAAACTTCAGATAGAAGTGAAGTGTTTGAATTTCTCCGTATGTGTCTCAAAGCTTGTTCTATGCACCTCGACGTTGATTGGTTCTTATTGACCTTAAATTTGTCGTTGTTTACTTCTTTGTTTTGGTTGTGTCTCCCATTGGTTTGATTTTTGTTCTTATATTTATGGATGATTTTCCTGATTGGTTGATAAATTGGATTGATTTCAATATGTTTGTTGATTGCTGATTGACCTGAGTGCCAGGCTTCTAAAAATTCTCTGGTGTTTTTGGACTTTCCTCTGTCTAAGATTTCCACATTTTTCCAATCGAATGAGTGTCCGTAGTTATCCACGTGTATTGATATAAGTGAAGAGATATCATGGCGTTTGACTGCTAATTGATGTTCATGTAAGCGTAGATGGAGGGGGCGTCCGCTTTGTCCGATGTAGTGTTTGTCGCAGTTGGTACAATTTATTTTGTAGATGATGTTTGATTTGTTTTCCTTTGTTATTTCATCCTTTGGTTTGCATAGGATTGATTGTAGTGATTTTGTTGGTTTGTGTGCCACACCTATCCCGAAGTTTTTCAGCAGTCTCGTTGCGGTTTCTGATATTCCTTTTATGTACGGTAGGGTGATCCTTTTGTTGATTTTTGTGCTTGACTTGGGTTCTGATGCTGTGTGCCCAAACCGGACTGTTGCTGTTGCAATCATTAATCCATTTTCTCAAATCTCATGGTTCATGCGTTTTCTTACAAATTGCATTGCGTTCCTGCTCTTCCTTCCTTGATTTTCCCCCACTACGTTCTTTAACTCGCATCATATACTACTTATATCAATATAAGTAGCACCCACCACAGTAGTAGTAGTACCAAATAAATTTGGTAAATTAGATAACTAAGAGGTTTTTAGAAAGATTTGTTACCCATCATATTCAAAGCTGAATGATGCAAAGTACTACTTAAAAGGAATAGTCATATTTGAAGGAAATGCATGTAATAAAAATATAGAATATAAATTTAAGATTGATAGTATACAATGTCGTTAACGTTTTGAATGCTGAAATGAACTGATATGAAATAATAATGAATAGTGTTTTACGCTTAACTCATCAGCTTGAAAAAGTACATGAAGACAATAAATTTACGATGGAAAATATGTAACTATTTATACCTGAACATAATACAAAGGAAATACGGAGCAATTTACAAAAGAATCATGGCTGAGAAAATAGTGCAATAGTTTTTTGATTGTGTCAGTTGCAGATTCTGTGTTAATCAACACGTAATCTAATAAAAATATAGTTATGCTCAGTGGATGGAGTGAAAAAAGAAATCTCTGACATTAAAAATTGTCTATAAAAAAAGAATGTTCAAAGAGATTTATTCTGAACTACTAAAAAGCCAAGACAATCAACTGTTAAGAAACAATTTGCCTTCATCTTTTTTTAGGTCAATAGAGATTATATTTAAAATGTAATAAAAGGGTTAAAACGATGTTAATAATAAGCTATGCTTCAGCTTACTGTTATTTATTATACATGATAATCACAATTGATTGATCACTGGGTGGTGATCAATCAATTGTGATTACATCTCAGTCCTACAGGAGGTTAGTCACGGCTCGGATAGCTCAGTGGTAACGTCTCTGACTGTGAAGCTGGGTGACACGAGATCGAATCCGCCAGGGAGCACCAGTTCCCTCACGATTACAAGTACACCTTGCTGACGAGTGCCAAGTAGCACGAAACCCGGGTCCAGGGTTTCCTGTTGACTACCTCCAACCACCATCTAAATTATACATGATCGAATTTCCTTGAATCAGTCAAAGTGGATCAAAATCCTTCTGAGGTTACCTCCAAATGTATTTATAAATTTATATGTGCTTGTGGCAGCAAATTCATAGGAAGGACCGAAAATAAGCATTTAGAAGGTTTTCTAGATATTTCCATCGGAAGGTGTGCTTAAAAGAGAGTAAACTGTTTATGACTGCTATAAATAAGGTTTTTATGGAAAATGAACGTGAGATATATATCATGAAGACGTTTAAATTAAAAAACAATCAATAAAGCCGTTTTTACTTTTTCATCTAGAGGCATTTGTTGTCAAGCGTTTTTAACCTGACCTGTACATTAAGAAAGTGTGATGAACTTGGTAAAACACTTGTCGAATACATAATGTTTTTATTGTGCATTTAATTTTAAAATCACCAGTGACATTCACCAACAACATTAACCTTATATAAGCCAAGTCAATTGATTATCATTCAGGTGTAAAATAATTGTTTTTATTCTTACCATTCATTACATCACACCTTTAAACGACCCCATTTTCAATAAATAAATCCTAATAAATCTTGAGTATTATGGTAAATATGTTGATTCATCCTCCTATTTCTTGGGTTTTTTGCTGTGTCATCTTGAGCTCAACTTCATTGATTCAGATAATGTAAAAGTGTTTATACAAATGGAATTACTTTTGAAATTTAGCCTTTCAAAGTTGAAGAGTTGCCATGAAATATACTGAACTCCCTTTCTTCTGCAAACTATATTCTTCTAACTTGATTTAAATTTATCAAGGGATAATGATGTATGGGAATAATAATCTTACTATCAATCAGAACAAATGAGTAGTCAGAGGTGAAGTAGAAATGTCACAAATTATTAAGGACGTTATGAAATGGTAGTGTTAACTAAATTGTTCAAATTTATATTAAATACCTAATAAAATAAACTGAATTAGTTAGGTGTTGAAAGTAAAATTGAGATCATTAATAGTAGACTAATTGGGATTTTTTCTAACCGAAGAGGTTATGAAATCATATGCTTTGTGGTTAGCCAAACACAGAAACAAAATTTCTTAAAGCTTACTGCTATTCTAAATTTTAATGAAGAATCGTTTAGTTTTGATGCGTCCTATATTTGAAGTTTTAAAAAGGTATTAGCTATTAGATAGCTAGTCAATTATATAGATTCTGTGAACCATCTATTGTGTATACTGCACAACGTATAAGTATTTCAAATAATAAATTTTAACATTAATGTAAGAACTATATAAATTATGGTACATAGAAGTTGTTCCTGATCTAATAGCTTTGCTTAACCGGGTAATTCCATCGACATGTAGAGCATCTTTTTTTTGTTAGAAATATCTTGTATGAAGTATGTTTTACGAAGTTTGTACTTTCCCGTTTGTTGGCATTCTTGATTACTGTAATTCAGTATTTATGACATACGTGCACTATGATATTTTTATCGATATTGTTTCACTAGAGTTTCAATTGAAAACAAGAGACTTTTAAAAACAATGGACAAGAAATCATTTCCATTAGTTTTGTTTCTTATCATCTGCCTTAATAGTTGTGAAGATGAGACATTTGTTGTGCATTCATAAATAACTATAGCCTAAGCTTATCTAATTTAATAATCATTTCGTAACATCAAATGATAATTAGGAGGAAATCGAGATTTAAAATGGAAGAATGATTTACTGTGTAGTCTAACATGCTTTCAAACATTTAAATCCTACCTAAAGCCATTTAAGGCAATGATTTTACATATTGTCATGGTTCAAGGAATTTCGTTATGATTTAAACCATTTCAAATTCTGCTATGTGGCCAAATTAAAAATCATTCGAAAATTATAAATCATAATTACGATCAAATTTTAGGAATAAAATAGCTAAATTACGCGTTTGAAATTTCTTAAACATTTTATCGTTTATATCAAACAAAGGTTTTGTAATCAGTCACTACTGTTAGTTAAATTGATCAGTGTTATTCAATATACTATCGGTCTAGCCATATAATTCGATGGAATTGATGTGATTCAAAAGACTTGGTTTTCTGAAATGAAAGCTGTTTAAAAGAAAAGTCATGTATTTGTGTCGTCTGGATATATTTCCTCTGCTAAGTTTTCCAACACTCAAGTTTTTAATTGTTGAAATGGATTAACTTTTTATCTCTTGAATCGGGCATCAATGACTACGCTACGCAGATTATAGGCTGCTACTGACATACAGTTAGTGTCCCCGATGGAAAATGATGTTTTTTTTAAACGAATTAAATTAAACCGCGTCATGACTACATTGAAGTACATTTTACAAACTGTTAATACGAATATACATGTTATTCATTGATTCTTTGATATATTAGTTGCTGTTAATGTTTCGAATAACTATACTTTAATCACACTTAAATTAATTTTATCTGTGTCAAATAAAAGAAGTAATATTTAAATGGATTAAGTTTAGAATGAATATAACATAATACACACACTACTGACAAATAAACATTTTATTAAATCTGTTACTGAAATGTTGATATTTATTTAATGACTCATTATAAACTATTCTGTCCATCAATTTATTATTTTGAATAGTTTCTGAACTTTATATTTTATGATTTTGTTGAGCTTACCCATTCCTACCGATCACTTTTAACA